TTTTTTTTTTTTAAGAGACAGAGGCTTGCTCTGCCATCCCGGAGTGCAGTGGTGTGATCATAGGTCACTGTAGCCTTGAACTCCTGGACTCGAGTGATCGATCCTTCCACCTCAGCCTCCTGAGTAGCTGGGACTACAGGCGTGCACCACCACACCCAGCTAATTTTTAAAGTTTTTTGTAGAGGTGGGGTCTCACCATGTTGCCAAGGCTGGTCTCAAGCTTCTGACCTCATGTGGTCCTCCTGCCTTGGCTTCCCAGAGTCTTGGGATTATAGGTGTGAGCCATCATGCAGGGACTTAAAATTTTAAGAATAAGTTAATGTCTTTTTTTTCTTTTTAAATATCTAGCACCTAAAAAGGTGCTCAGTAAGAATTTGTTCATCCTGAATCTGCCAATTCTCAATTCCTTTATTGGGTAGTGCTTACGGGCTTTAATACTCAGCCTTATAAAGTTAGCCTCATTTCAGATTGTAAAATTGTACAGACCCAAGATTTTATTACTTCAAAAAAGAGTATGGGTCCTTTGTTTATTCCATTTTTCACCCTAACGTCACTTGTAGCCCAAGTGTAAGATATTTTTATGTTTATTATGAACTATTCTGGTTCCACAAATAGCCCTCTGTTTTCGAAAATGGAGTGTCTGCTAATGAACACGCCTGTTTTCTTTTAAATTGTGAAATTTTCTTAGTAGCTGTTCATAGCTGGTTTTCATGACATCATGGGGAAATGCCTCTTGCTGGTTCATTTACAGTGAAAGGAGATTGTCAGAGTTTCCTTGATAAAATGTTTATGGGCTTAAGAGGTTTATGAATCAGCTGTAAATATTTGCTCTGGGTTTATGAGACCTCTCCTCATAAACGCTGTGTATGTTTATCTATTGCTCATTGAAATGTCTTTAGAGAATCAGCTGCTTGGAGCTCGTGGGCCTTGGAAAGGTTTTATGTGGCAGATTTAAAAAGGCTGGGTTGTGAATAACCTGAAATTTTGTGCAGGAACTTTGTTAAAACAGCATGGTTAAAGTCATCAGTGCTGGGCAAAATGGTTTTGACTTTTTTTTTGTTTTTGAGTCGGAGTCTCGCTCTGTTGCCCAGGCTGGAGTGCAGTGGCACGATCATGGTTATCACAGCCTCAACCTGCTGGGCCCAGGTGATTCTTCCGCCTTGGCCTTCCAAGTAGCTGGGATTGCAGGCTTGCGACACCACACTGGCTAATTTTTTGATTTATTGTAGAGACAAGGTCTTACCATGCTGCCCAGACTGATCTCGAACCCCTGGACTCAGACAATTCTCTCACCTTCACCTTGCAAAGTGCTGGGATTACAGGCATGAGCCATGGCCCCTGGCCTGTTTTTGATTTTTTATATCCCATTCTGGGGCTGACTTTTGAGATACTTTTTGAAGTGTTTTCCCAACAAGGGTACCTGCACAGTGAATATTTATATACCTCACCCTGAAGTGTACCCCACAATTTTAAAATAAAAAAATTTTAAAAGTAAAAAAAAAAGTTTTCCTTAGACCAGCAGAGAGAGACAGAGCTTGCCGTGCCAACTGACACCTGTTGGGGGGACCCAATGGTACCCTCTGACCTCATGGTTAGCTTGATTGAAGAAACGAGGATCTACCAGAGAAATGTAGAACCTTTTTGTTGGGAAATAGTTCATAATGAATTAAAATTTGGTGGAGGCAGAGTTTTTGGTAAAAAATAATAGTGTAGATGACAATCGTATGAAGAGTAAAGCACTACTACGGGTGGTTCAAAGTCCAGATTGAATGCTTTAGGTGGGGGTCATCCCCAATCTGCAATGGCAGACTCATCGAGTCTTGGTGGGTTGTGGGGTTAGGCCTCCACTGGGCCTCTTATCCCTGGGGCTGGTGTTAGCAGGCGGTTTCTGATGGTTCTGCTTCGATTGGAATGTTTTGCTGAGGGAGCTAACCACCCAGCAAGACAGCCCATTCCACGTCCTTCTCGGAGGTCCTACCCAGGACCTGCTGCCTTATGAGACCCAGGACTGAGTTTCGTGCCCACGCCTCCCCAGGTTATCTTCTTCCTCACAGACAGGTTTCGGGGGCTCAGTCCCTTCCGTTCTTCTCTCCATGGGTGGCTGCAGCCTCCCACCTTTTCCCGCTTCCTGTGTCTTCTCCTTGGCATGGTTTTGAATGTGCCGTATTTTGGTGCTCACCGACACAGAGGGCCAGATGCGCCAGCCTCGACCCTCCCTTAAATTCTCTAGAGGGAGAAACAGTAGTGGTGGTGGTTTTCCATGCGTGATTCAGGCAGGTGAAGGAGAGGGAAAGGGCTTGATAATTGCTCCTGCTTAGAAACCAAGCAGCCTGCTTTGGACTGTTGTCTGTGAGGTGGGTCAGCAGTGGCTCTGGAAAATTCCCTGACCTTTCAGAGCCTTCGCAATCGCCTCTTTGCATATCTGTCTGTCAGGGTTCTTGGAAGGATCATGAGTTGTTGCAAGAAAATAACGGTTGTACTTCATTTTAGATTGCTCTAAAGGAATACCTGAGGCTGGGCGATTCAGAAAGAGAGGAGGGTTATTTGGCTCACGATTCTGGTGGCCACAAAGCCCAAGATTGGGCCTCTGTGTCTGGGGAGGCCCAGGGTGGGTGGAAAGCGAAAGGGGAGTAGATGTGGGGGGAGAGATCAGATGGTAAGAGGGGAGGTGAAAGAGGGAAACCGAGGAAGCCAGGCTTCTAACAGCCCGCTCTTGAGGGAACTGATCCATTCCTGTGAGAACCAGCCCTACCGCATGGGAGGGCATGAGTCTGTTCACGAGGGATCCACTCCCCAAACACTTCCCATGAGGTCCCATCTCCCAATACTGCCACCTTGGGAGCCAGATGGAGTTTTGTTTTTTGAGTTGGAGTCTCACTCTGTTACCCAGACTGGACTGCAGTGACCGCTCCCGGCCACCGCAGCGTCGACCTGCTGGGCTCCGGCAATCCTTCTGCCTCAGCCTTCCGAGTAGCCAGAACTACAGGCGTGTGCTACCATGCCCGGCTAATTTTTTGACTTATTGTAGAGATGAGGTCTCGCCAAGTTGCCCAGGCGGGTCTCGAACCCGCGGGCTCAGGCAATCCACTCACCTCGGCCTCCCAAAGCGCTGGGATTACAGGCTGAGCCACCGAGCCCGGCCCAGAGTGTGTTTCAACATGCGTTTTGGCGGGAACAAGCCATAGCAAGCCCACAGAGGAGAGCTGGCACCCAAACACAGTGGGCCTCTTAGGTTGTTCCTATGGGAGTGGTGGCTGCTTCATGGAGCTGAAAGTGTGGACACAGGCTAGCGCAGGTGGGTGGGGGGGTGGGCGGCGAGAGGGCCCGGTTCAGGCTGAGGCCAGACAAGGAGAGGGGAAAGAAATTCTGGACTTCATCTGCAGCAGGTTTGCTGTCCTCGGACACTGCACCAGGACATGTGGGCAGGTAAATAGTGCTGAGTTGATGCCTCTGACTAGTGTATCAGAAAGCACATTTGGTAATTTGCCCAGTGATTTTTGGGACTGGAGTATTGTGGGCTGAGCTGTCGGGTACCACCCCGAGTTGTTTTCCAGAAGATGACTGGTTTCTTTTTGGGTTTACCTCACATGTCTTTGAATCTTTACGATTCTGGCATCGCCCCTCTTTTTGGGGGGCTTCAAGACCCCATTAACTTTTTTGAGGGAGCATGCATCTTCTTGAAGGGCCATACCCCTCCTTCTTCTTGAAGCTGTACCCCTGGGTGGAATATTTCTTGGGAGAGCTCAAAGGAAGGGTTTTCTTGTCAGAGGGCCTTTTTTCTTGGATGTTTGATTTTAAGTCACTTTATTGGAGTAAAAATTTGCATCTTCTGACTTAGTAAAAATTATCCCTAATCTGAGACTATACCTAGTGTTAGAGGGACTTACTTTTCTTACATATGTATACACACACACACACTTTTATTGTTATTGTTATTATTATTATTATTTTGAATTGGGGTCTCACTCGGTTGCCCAGGCTAGAGTGCAGTGGCATAATCACGATCATGGTTCACTGCAGTCTCAACCTCCTGGGCTCCGGCGATCCACCCACCTCAGCCTCCTTAGTAGCTGGGACTACAGGTGCATGTCACCACACCAGATTCATTTTTTTTATTTTGTAGAGACAGGATCTCACTGTATTGCCTAGACTGGTCTGGAACTCCAGGACTCAAGTAATCCCCCTGCCTTGGCTTCCCAAAGTGCTGGGATTACAGGTGTGAACCACCATGGGTGTGCGAGTCTGTGCACTTTTCAGATAGTTCCGATTTTGAGAACCGTACGGCGCATTTCTCCCTGTTCCTTGCATGTGTTCTGTTGGAGTCTGCTGGTGTGTGTCTGCTTCTGGGAGCTCTGTCCTGGCAGCAGATGGAAGCCGGGAGCCCTCACTGGGACAGACACCAGGGTGTCAGGCAGCTGGTCTGTTTCTGTCCCTGACTTACTGTGTGGCCTCACACACTCATGCAGTCCTTCAGGTCCTCAATTTTTTTTTTCCTTAGGATGACATCAGAGTCAGTGCTTTCTGATGTCCCTTGTGGCCCGCACAGTCTAGGCCATTATTTTACAATCTCCAGCCTGGGTAAATAGCCAGTGGACAGACCATGCTGGGTTCCTCCGTTTACATCACGGCGCTTCCTCAGCCCACGATGGTTCCCTTCCCCTTGACTCCCGACTTCTTCCCAGGCTGCAGAGACTGCTGTGGCTCATTTCAAGCTGATACCCTAACACATGACAAGTACGCCTTGAAACAAGTCTTAGGTCGTTTACCCGAGAGCCCTCACCGTGGTTCCTGCTTTGGCCAGGTGAGTCCAAGCAAGTGTCTGACTTCGCAGTTCGCATCTCGAAAATCAGCACACTGAAGCTCTTTGGAGAGTTCTGCCATCGCCCCCTAGGCTGTCGAGTAAGACTGTTGCATGAAGGCTCTCCTGATCTCAGTCGAAGGCAAGGATCTTCCCACCCCTCCCTCCGGGATTGACTCTCTGTTCTTCTGTTTTTCTGCAGAAGAAGGCTCCAGCTTGGAGGAAATCGGCTTCAACTGGGGAGAATATTTGGAAGAAACAGGTGCTAGTGCTGCTCCTCACACGTCTTTCAAACACGTACGTAAAGTGGCTCGATCTGGCAGTCCCTTCGGGTCCCCTCCCACTATGGGAGCATCTCAGTCCTCTCAATAAGTCCTGCTTTCTCACTTAAAAGAAAAAAGCCGCTCTTGTCCTGTCATCCTGGCCTGGGCGGGGGCGGGGACAGAAAGGGAAGGGAGGGCTGAGTCAGGGAACCCAGCGGAAGAGAGGCCCGGAAAGGGCGAGATTCAGCCAGGAATTCTCCGGAGAAGCTAGAAGTGGACGTTAATTTGGTTTTCACAGATCGTGGTGGAGACCGTGGGCCACGGGTAAGGGCGATTTGAATAAGCAAGAAAACGAGGCAGGTGGTTTGATGTGTAATGTCCTTTGGGTGAATGCAATGGCTGTATGTTTTCATTTATTTGAGTTGGAGTCTCACTCTGTCGCCCAGGCTGGAGTGCAGTGGCATGTCACAACTACTGCAGGCTTGACCAGCTGGGCTCAGGCAATCCTCTCACCTCAGTCTCCCAAGTAGCTGGGGTTACAGGTGTGCGCCACCTCTCCTGGATCATTTTTTGATCTTTTAAAAATTTATTTTGTAGAGATGAGATCTCCTTGTGTTACCCAGGCTGGTCTTGAACTCCTGGGTTCTAGCAATACTCCCGCCTCGGCCTCCCAAAGTGTTAGGATTATAGGCGTGAAGTACCAATACCTGACTTGTTTTTATTTTGAATTGATGTTTTGATTTTAAAGGACAAAAGTTTTATAGCGCTATTTGTTGTTCGCTGAATCAAATTAGAGGATAGAAACCTAAATATCCCGAAGCCATTTGGATCCAACCAAAAAAAAAAAAAAAAACAAACATTCTCACCCATAATAATTCTTAGGGTAATGCAAATAATATGGCCAGCAGAGGGCAAGTCCCAGAAAATTTTAAAATTGGGTCTTTAAATCATAGTTTTGCTTGGAAGTGAGGTATTGGGTATAGCAGGAAGAAGACCAAATTTCAAGGACCCAAGTTCTTAGGCATCAGGGTTGTTGTGATGGAAGTGGAGATTTAACTTGGAGAAATATTTTTTCACCGGCTACTGAGGGCAAAGATTCAGCCTGGGTATCTTAGGGAAATTGGGGAGTTTTCGTAACTTCCTTTTCCTTTTGGCTCCTCGGTTGAATGAGGGACCAGACTCTCTCTCTCTCTCTCTCTCTCTCTCTCTCTCTCTCTCTCTCTCCCCCCCTCACTCTCACCCTTCATCCTCATCCTCATCCTACCTCCCTCCCTCCCTTCTCACAGTCTTGGCCCCTCCCCCCCGTGTTGCCCAGGTTGGCCTGGAACTTTTGCACTCAAGCAATCCCAATCCTCCCGCCTCAGCCTCCTGAGTAGTTGGGAGTACAGCTGTGTACCACTGCATCTGGGTGAAGTGTTCTTTTGAAGGGAATTTGAGATTGCATTAAGTTTGTGTGACCGTGTAAAGGTAGATTGTATTTCCATTTTTCCTTTTTTCTCATCATATATAATGACTAGTTTATTACGGATGTGATTGTGGCTCTTGAGTAAAACCAAGAGCTAAATATTAAAGCAAGGCTGGGCGCGGTGGCTCACCCCTGTAATTCTAGCACTTTGGGAGGCTGAGGTGGAAGGATCGCCTGAGCCCAGGGGTTTGAGACCAGACTGGGCAACTTGGCGAGACCTCGCCTCTGCAGTCAACCAAAAAATTAGCCAGATGTGGTAGCGTATGTCTGTAGTTCCAACTACTTGGGAGACTGAGGCGGAAAGATTGCCTGAGCCCAGCAGGTTTGGGCTGCTGTAGCTGTGATCATGCCCCTGCACTCCAGCTTGGGTGACAGAGTAAGACTCCATCTCAAAACAAAACAAAACAAGCAAAAAAATGAAAACACAGCAAAGCCAGAGCTTTCCTGGCATACGGTGTGGATATGGACCACAAAAGCCATTTTGACCTTTCCATCTTAGGATGCCAGGGTGGTTTGGTAGTTTCCTTAGGCAGTTTGGGGAGGAGGCACTGATGGGCAATTTTTTCTTTCTTTTCTGTACTGAAAGGTTATCAGTTTTTCTCTCTGTGGAGTGACTCCCGTTTTCTTCGATTCATTCAATTCTCCCACCTCCCTTTTATAGTAGGGTGTTCTGGAGGGCAGGGCTGGAGGCTGTCTTTCAGGGTGCAGGGTGTCCCCAGGCTTCTATGCCAGGCTGATTTATGAATTATTATCATTATTATTTGAGCTGGAGTCTCACTCTGTCACCCAGGCTGGAGAGTGCAGCGGCACGATCATAATTCACCGCAACCTCGACTTTCCGGGCTCAGGCGGTCCTTCCTACTCAGCCTCTCGGGACTGAGCTGGGACGATAGGCTGGGACGATAGGCACGCGGTCACCACACCTGGCTAATTTTTAAAATATAGAGATAAGTTCCCACTGTGTTGCCCAGGCTGATCTGGAACTTCTGGGCTCAAGCCATCCTCCCACCTCGGCATCCCGAAGTGCTGGGATTGCAGGCGTGAGTCACCACCATGCCTGGTGCTTTATGCCAGGTTTAAAGGAGAAGGAACATTGGACCCAGGGAAGTGTGCCTTATAATTCCATCATCTCCTTTGAGCAGTGGCTGCTCATGGACAGCAGATATGTCAGCTCTGGAATGTTATGACCCACCAGGCTGGAAAGCTTTTTTGGAGGCGAGGCTTGGAACCCTTAATTAAAAAATCCATTCTCTAGGGCTTTGCTGTTCATGTGGCAGCCACTATCTTTTGGACCTCCTGAGCACTTGAAAAGTGTCCAGTCCAAATTGAGATGTGTTCTGTGTTGAACACCTACCAGATTTTGGAGGCTTCAGTTGACAAGAAGAATGTTGGATAGTTCATCATTGTTTTTTAGATTAATTACAATAATTATATAATGGATAATATTTTGGACATATTGGGTTAAATAAAATGTCATTAAATTTAATTTCATCCCTTCTTCCTTCCTTCTTTCCTTCCTTCCTTCTTTCTTTTTTTTTTGTAACAATGTCACTCTGTAGCCCAGGCTGGAGAGTAGTGGCATGCTCACAGTTCATCACAGCCTCAAATTCCTGGGCTCATGTGATCCTCCCTCCTCAGTCTCCCGAGTAGCTGGCACTACAGGCATGTGCCACCACTTGTGGAAAATTTTTTGTGGAGATGAGGTCTTGTTGTGTTGTCCAGGCTGGTACTGAAGTCCTGAGCTGAAGCAGTCCTCCTGCCTTGGCTTTCCAAGTGCTGGGGTTAGAGGCATGAGCCATTGGTCCCAGCTGCCTTTTTTTCTCTTAATGTGCCTGCCAGAAAATTTGGCATATTTTTGGCTCATATTATATTTCACTTAGACACATATATGCCTGTTCTAGGGCAACAGAAATGCTATTTTTAAATACATATGGTTTAAATACAGTTTTGTTTTTTTTTTTTTGAGTTGGAGTCTCACTCTATTGCCCAGGCTAGAGTGCAGTGGCACACTCATGGCCACCCCAACATCGACCGGCTGGACTCTAGTGATCCTTCCATCTCAGCCTTCCAAGTAGCCGGAACTACAGGCGTGCACTACCGTGCCCGGTTAATTTTTGATTTATTGTAGAGACGAGGTCTTGCCAAGTTGCCCGGTCTGGTCTCGAGCCTGTGGGCTCAGACAGTCCATTCACCTCGGCCTCCCAAAGTGCTGGGATTATGGCTGAGCCACCGAGCCCAGCCTAAATATAGTTTTTAACTATTACGTTTTTCAGTGGATCTTGTAGCTTTCTGGGTATATGTGTCTGACTGAGTGACGGGTTTTGTTTCTGGCTCCTTTAGGTTGAAATCAGCCTTCAGAGCAACTTCCAGCCAGGAATGAAACTGGAAGTGGCCAATAAGAACAACCCAGACACGTACTGGGTGGCCACGATCATCACCACCTGCGGCCAGCTGCTGCTTCTGCGCTACTGTGGTTACGGAGAAGACCGCAGGGCTGACTTCTGGTGCGACGTTGTCATTGCGGATCTGCACCCAGTGGGGTGGTGCACGCAGAACAACAAGGTGTTGATGCCCCCGGATGGTGAGCCCGCGTTCGAAGGCTTGTATGTGCAGGTCGTCGGCTGGTCATCTCCTGGGATGCCTGTGTCCCTGCAGGGGCAGAGAGACCCTTTTTTGGGCTGCATTAGTTGGAGGGTGCAGGGTGGAGGGAAAGGGCGTGCCTTTTCGGGTATCAGGGCTGGCCCTGACAGTTGAGCCCGCCCTGGCCTGTAGGAAATGAAAGCCTTTGGGCCTCATCCTCAAATTGCTTTTGGAGGGTCGGAAAAGAAGGCAGAGGGATACCAGGAATCTCGATCTTGTTTGTCCTTTTGTGACTGTGTTTGTTGCTTTTCTTCTGCTTTAGCACCTCCAGCATTTTGAGCATCCTTTTAAAGAGTATCCTAAGATAACGTTTTAACCTTTCTTCTTGGGAGGGGGGCGTCTGTTGGGGGTGTGAAACCTTTTAGAAAACCAAACAGATGAAAAGAAGTGATGTCACTTTCAAGGGACGGGTCAAAGCTCATGTAGATAAGATCAGTTTAGTTGCCATGAGCAGTGGAGTTTCCCCCCTGGGGCACGTGGCGATATCTGGTAGCAGTTTTGCCTGGGGTGGTGGCGATGGGCATTGCTGCTGACATCTGGTGGGAGAGGCCAGACCTTGCTAAACTTCCAGTGCCCGGGACACCCCCATGACTCAACCTGCTGTACTGAGGGCCAATGATCCTGAAGGGCAAGAATGGGCTGCGTGCTTGGAAGTGAGAAGATGGAGGTTAACTAAGTTGAATCTGAGTTGAATCACTAACACCGTGTTCTATGTTTCTTTGTATGTAAAGAGCAGCAATGGCGGGATTTTTTTTTTCTTTTTCCTTTTTTTTGAGTTGGAGTCTCACTCTGTCACCCAGACTGGAGTGCAGTGGCTGCTCCCGGCCACCGCAGCCTCCACCTGCTGGGCTCCGGCGATCCTTCCGCCTCAGCCTTCCGAGTAGCCGGAATTACAGGCACGCACTACCACACCTGGCTAATTTTTGATTGATTGTAGAGATGAGGTCTCACCGAGTTGCCCAGGCGGGTCTTGAACCCGTGGGCTCAGGCAATCCACTTACCTCAGCCTCCCAAAGGGGCGGGATTACAGGCTAAGCCCACCGAGCCCGGCTAGGATTTTTTTTTTCTTTTGAGTCAAGTTCTCTGTCAACCAGGCTGTCGTGCAGTGGCACGATCATGGCTCACAACAGACTCGATCTCCTGGGTTCAGGCGATCCTCCCACCTCAGCCTTTCAGGAAACTGGGACTACAAGCATGCACCACCATGGCCGGCTAATTTTTGTGCGTGTGTGTGATTTTTTTTTTTGTAGTGATGCGGTCTTGCTATGTTACCCAGGCTGGTCTCTAACTCCTGGGCTCAAGCAATCCTCCTGCCTCGGCCTCCCAAAGAGCTGGAATTGTAGGTGTGAGCCACCATATCCAGCCAATACTGGCAGGAGCATGTGTGATGTCCTCTTGGCCCCTAGCCACCTATTTTTTTTTTTAAAGTGGCATGGAACGTTTTAGAGGTGAAAGCCTGAGGTCGTTTTGCCCATGATATTAGCAGTTGCCTTAGCCTTGCTGAGTGTTTGAGTCTTACCTTCTTTTTGGGGGGTTATGATATAACTTTTATCTGATGGGTGGGAACGGGCTGTGGTTTTTGGCTACTGCTTGTTATGCATAATTTATAGCCTCCTAGGGAGGGGTCATAAGAATGGCTGGAGCATAGGTGTTGCCTATATGTGACATTTGTCAGGACTGAACCCATTGCCTTGGCTTCACTGACATCTTGAGCCTTTATTCTGTCAGGAGAAAGAGAAAGAAGATCTCTTCTTTCCTCCATGCTCTGGGTCTTTGTACCTGTTCTCTTCAGCGCTGGGAACCTCCGTCCTCCCCTCTTCTGCCTCCTCTCCCTGCTGTCAGCTTCTCTCTCTTCCTCCTGCACCGAGGTTGATGCTGTCTATATTCCCATGGCAGGTCAGACCCCATCTATTCCTCCGGCTACCTAGTTTGATCAGTGTTATTCACACCCCATCCGACCATAAAAGTTCACCCTTCAAACTGTACAGTACAGGGATTTTCAGTACAGTCCCAAGGACATGCAACCATGATCACTATCTAATTCCCGATTTTTAAAAAAAATTTTGGATTTATATAATTTTATTTTATTTTTTTTTTAGAGATAAAGTCTGGCGATGTTGCCAAGGCTGGTCTCGAACTTTTAGGCTCAAGCTATTCTCTCCTCTTGTCGTCCCATAGTGCTGGGATTACAGGCGTGAGCCACCATGCCTGGCCCAGTTTCAGAACATTTTAATCACCCCCAAAGTTACTCCCCATTTTCCTCTCCCCCAACCCTTGGCCATCACTGTAGATTTTCTTATTCTGGACGTTCTGCGCGTCTGAAGCCTTATACGAGGTGGCCTTTTGTGTTGGGCTGTTTCACTTAGCGTAGCATCCCCGTTTGATCCGACCATTTGCTAGGGCTTCCTTTTTAAGGCTGAGTGTGTTCCATTGCGCTGGTCGACCACAGCTTGTTTCTTCATTCATTGGTTGGTGGCTGAGTAGCCATGGCTGCACTTCCCGGTGTGCGGGTCTTTGACCAGAGCATGTGTTACTCGTGGGGACAGCCCGGTCCGTGTGAGTCCACCTCCCCGTGTCCACCAAGACAGCATCTGTTGCCTGTGCTTGAGGAATTGGGGTAAAGATCGAGTGACTGAGCGGTCTGTTGCAGAAGGTGAAAACGTTGCCCACTTAGTGGTCTCAAGTACTAAGGGCAGGAAGTTCCCACTCTACCTGTGCCATCCTTGACCTTCCCTTCTTGTCTTTTGAGGTAGTGCTGTGTGTGTCTCCCGTCTGAAAGTGTCAGCCTGTATTTTAACCTCTCGATTGAGGGGCACTTTTTAGGGGAGCACTGGAGATGGATCAGAGCTCATTTATTTATTTTTTGAGTTGGTGTCTCACTCCATCGCCCAGGTTGGAGTGCAGTGACACGCTCACAGCCACCCCAGCGTCGACCTGCTGGGCGCCTGCGGTCCTTCTGCCTCAGCCTTCTAAGTATCCGGAACTACAGGTGCGCACTACACACCTGGCTAATTTTTGATTCATTGTAGAGACGAGGTTTCACCAAGTTGCCCAGACTGGTCTGGAACCCATGAGCTCAGGCAGTCTCCTCGCCTCGGCCTCCCAAAGTGCTGGGATGACAGGCTGAGCTATTGAGCGCAGCCCAGACTTTATTTTTAATTCCCACCCTGGTTCTGCATAAGCACATTGTAGGAGAAGGAGGTAACGTTTTGGGCTAAACAGTGCACGATGATGCTTTTGGTAATACCTGCTTCACTAGCCCCAGACCCAGCCTGAATGGGCCCTGAATGACATTTTTAGATCTGCCTTTGAACAAACGAAAATGAGGATACGCTGTAACATTTGATTATTTGATGTTCCTAGATTTTCGATCTGTCATAAAATAAATCGGTCTCAATGGATGAATTGTACTGATGGAATATTGGGAAAAGACCAGCTCTTTGTGTTATTAGACAAGACACAGCCACACCTAAAATGACAAGTCCACCATGAGAAATGAGGAAGCCCTGGACAAAGTGAAACCGTGAATGTGACTGAAAGATTTAAAATCTGTTCCGACAGTAGATGGTTGCAAGTAATGCTAATGTGAGGATTTCTGCAGTGTTTTTTTTTTTTTTTTAAGAACTTAAAAAAATTTAGTAAGTAATCAATATGACTTGGAAATCTTTAGTACAGAGAACAAAGTCAGGGAAGAGCAGGTTCTTGGGACAAGAGTCTTTATTGATTGCCAGAGGACAGAATAATTATTGTTTTGTAACCAGAGGTGGCCGTTGCTCCAGAGGGAATAGGAGAATCTATTTTTTCTGAGCAGGGATTCTTGTTCGGGAGGTTTTCTGTCTCAGAGAGCTAATGTCATTGTAAATTCTGCAACTATACCTGGTCCATCTCTGTTGTGGTTAAACTCGAAAGAGTTGCAGGATCTGAACAGGAGTTGGAGGAATCCGTGACGCTTGGGAGGCCCTGTGGGGATGGAGAGATTTTCTTACCGATCCCAGGAGGCAGGATGGTAGGAAGGACGGGCCTGGGGCAGGTGCCAGAGGTCTGAGTTCTTCTGTTGCCTTTGCCATTAGCTCAGCTCCGTGGGTGAGTTGCAGGGTCTCATGCTGGGAATGAGGGGATTGTGGTATATAATTTCTAAAGAGCTTGCCCATTGGAAGTGCCTCGGTCTGTGACCCTTGTGAAGGAAGAACGAGGGGGTGTGGGTGCTGGTTTTCCTTTTGAATGCACGACGAGTGGGATTTGTTCTGGAACGGGGGTCCAGGGAAGTCTAGCCCAGGAATCTGTCCTAAGCACAGAAGTAAGGTTTCTGAATTACTGTTGGGGGCTGATTTACTAAGCCAGAACGGTTCACATTTTGCTCCACTAATGAGAGTCATAATCCTCCGTGGCACTGAGTGGTATTTTAATGGACTGGGGGACACATGCGCTGGGCTAGGAATCACCCTGAGTGCCTGGGTAGAGTTTCCCGCAATAAAGACATGGAGACCCCCGCTCCCCGTTGGGTCTCTGAGAGCTTTCCGTGTTCGACTGAGAATCAGCAGAAGCTGAGTCAAGCCGCTGGTGGTGGATGGCAGCCTGGGAGTGTTTGGGAATTTTGCCCACCGTTTCTTGGGAGAAGGGAGAGAGGGTGTCTTTCCTTGTCAGACTGAGGCCCAGAGCATAAGTACTTCGAGGACCGTTTGGGATTGTCCCAAGCAGTCTTCTGGCTTCTGGAGTCACTGCATTGGAAGAGAGTGGCTTGATTATTTTATTTTATTTATATATTTATCTATTTATTTTTTTGAGTTGGAGTCTCACTCCATTGCCCAGGCTGGAGTGCAGTGGCCGCTCCCGGCCACCGCAGCCTCGACCTGCTGGGCTCCAGCGATCCTTCCGCCTCGGCCTTCCAAGTAGCTGGAACTACAGGTGCGCGCTACCACGCCCGGCTAATTTTTGATTTATTGTAGAGATGAGGTCTCACCAAGTTGCCCAGGCGGGTCTCGAACCCCTGGCTCAGGCAATCCACTCGCCTCAGCCTCCCAAAGGCACGGGATTGGGCTGAGCCACCGAGCCCGGCTTGGCTTGATTATTTTAGACGACACTTTTACAAAGCATGTCGAACCCCTTACACCCCC